CGTCAGCGTCGCCGGACACCACACATCAGTTCTGTTTTATGTTTTAGAACACTGCCCTAATGACATAATTTTGGGCCAAGACTTTTTGTCTGAACATTCGGCCTTGATAGACTGCTCTGCCGGTATAGTGCAACTCGCTCTACCTAATGTTGTTGATCCTCCAAGTTGCCCTCCAAGTCGGCTTTGTTCTACAGAACACCTGCGTCTCCCTCAACGAACAGTAGCTTACATAGGCGTCTCCCCTGTTCCACCTGTCCCAGACGGTGTTTATATTGTGTCCCCCAATGTTGACGTCCTGCTTTCGCACAACGTTGCGTTTCCTCACACCGTCATCACTATTACGGCCAATGCATCCTGCCTACCCTTAGTGAATTTTTCACTATGTACACAAGTCCTCCCTCGTGGTATATCTCTAGCCGAGATCGTGCCGGCGGCAGAGTGCCATATTTGCACTCTAAGTTATGACAGCATCCCGAGTGCCGAAAAAACTTCGTCTACTCCTCCATCAGACCAAAGTGTGTTAACCAAGATGATTGCCCCCGACTTGCCGAAAGAACAAGCTAACGACCTGCGTTCCCTGCTTGCATCTTTTTGGGACATCTTCGACCTTGGCGACCGCCCACTCGGCCAGACGTCCGTTGTTAAGCACCAGATTGATACAGGCGATACGAGTCCCATCCATCGGAGACCCTACCGTGTTTCCCATGCAGAGCGGCGCATCATCCAACAGGAGGTCGACAAAATGCTTTCTCGGAATATCATCGAGCCTTCATGCAGTCCCTGGGCGTCCCCTGTTGTACTTGTAAAGAAGAAGGACAACAGCTGGAGATTTTGCGTCGATTATCGCCATTTAAACAAAATAACGAAGAAGGACGTCTACCCTTTACCACGCATAGACGATGCCCTGGATTGCCTTCACGGCGCAAAATATTTTTCCTCCATTGACCTCCGCTCTGGGTACTGGCAGATTGCCGTTGATGACATGGACCGTGAGAAGACGGCGTTATCACTCCCGACGGCCTTTACGAGTTTAAAGTGATGCCATTCGGTTTATGTAATGCGCCCGCCACATTCGAACGTATGATGGACGCTCTGTTGCACGGCTTCAAGTGGTCCATCTGCCTGTGCTACCTGGACGACGTTATCGTTTTTTCGCCTTCTTTTGCGACGCACCTTGAAAGGCTATCGAAAATCTTATCTGTCTTTCGTAAGGCGGGCCTGCAACTCAATTCGGCAAAGTGCCACTTCGGCCGTCGTGAAATTTCTGTCCTCGGACACCTCGTTGATTCCGTGGGGGTTCGCCCTGATCAAGATAAATACGCGCAGTAAGAGATTTCCCTGTACCAACCTGTACCAAAGACGTTCGCAGTTTCGTTGGCCTCTGTTCTTACTTCCGCCGCTTTGTTAAAAACTTCGCCGACGTAGCACGCCCTCTCACTCAACTTCTCAAAAAAGACGCTGGCTTCATCTGGGGCCCTGAGCAAGCAGATGCGTTTCAAAATCTAGTGTGTCTGCTTACGTCTCCGCCTATCCTCGCCCACTTTGATATTTCATCTCCAACAGAAGTTCGTACAGACGCAAGTGGCTATGGCATCGGTGCAGTCCTCGCCCAGAAACAACAAGGACGAGACCGTGTTGTTGCTTATGCCAGCCGCCTTCTTTCGCCTGCTGAAAGAAAATATTCAATAACCGAACGGGAATGTTTGGCACTTGTCTGGGCAGTCGGTAAATTTCGTCCCTATTTGTACGGCCGGCCATTCACAGTAATCACAGATCACCACGCCTTGTGTTGGCTTTCGTCCCTTAAAGACCCTTCAGGACGTCTTGGCCGTTGGGCGCTGCGCCTTCAAGAATTTGATTACTCAGTCCTGTATAAAACCGGCCGCCTGCATCAAGATGCGGACTGCTTGTCCCGGTATCCTGTCGACCCTCCAGACGGCGACTCCTCTAAAACCACCCTTCCTATCGACGTTTTCTCTCTATCCGCGTTTCATGACATTGGAATCGAGCAGCGACGAGATACTTTCTTGGACGGTATTATCCGAAGGCTCACATCGGTGAGGCCCGACCCTTCCCTTCGAATGTTTGAAATACATGATGGTGTATTGTACCGTTGCAATATGCGTCCTGACGGCCCCGAAAGACTACTCGTCGTTCCCATTCAATTGCGTCACACTGTTCTCGCCCAGCTTCATGATGCACCTACAGCGGGTCACCTCGGCGTGTCACGGACCTACGACAGAGTTCGCCGGCGCTTCTTCTGGCCTGGCATGTACCGCGACGTCTGCCGTTATATTGCAGCCTGCGACCCTTGTCAACGACGGAAAAAACCAAATGCCCCTCCGGCCGGACGTCTTCAGCCACTGCACATCCCACAAGACCCATTCTACCGTGTTGGCGTGGACCTGCTTGGCCCTTTTCCTACGTCAGCTGCGGGTAATCGGTGGATTGCAGTAGCAACCGATTATGCTACCCGATACGCGATCACACGGGCCCTTCCAACCAGCTGTGCAACTGACGTGGCCGATTTCCTTTTGGAGGACGTCATCTTACATCATGGCGCCCCTCGACAACTCCTTACCGACCGAGGCAGCTACTTCCTTTCCAAAGTGGTTGATGACCTCCTCCGCTCCTGCGCCACTAAACACAAGCTCTCGACTGCTTACCATCCACAAACAAATGGTCTAACGGAGCGCCTCAATCGCACTCTCACCGACATGCTCTCCATGTATGTCTCCGCCGATCACCGCGACTGGGACACTACGTTACCGTTTGTAACATTCGCGTACAATTCTTCCAGACACGACACCGCTGGGTTCTCTCCTTTTTTTCTGTTGTTCGGCCGTGACCCTGCGCTACCTTTCGACACCCTCCTGCCGGCCGGACTAAATGACAAGTCTCAGTACGCTCGTGATGCAATAATGAAGGCCCAAGCGGCACGCCAAGTTGCTCGACGACGCTTACTCGACTCCCAGGACAATCAGAAGAGCGTATACGACGCCCGCCATCGTGACGTCCACTTCACACCCGGAGATCTCGTTCTGTTATGGTTCCCCTCGCGCCGCGTTGGACTTTCGGAGAAGTTACTCCCACGCTATTCAGGTCCCTACCGTATCTTACGCCAAGTAACTGACGTCACATACGAAATCACCCCTACGGACCCCGCCATCCTTCACCCTCACACTGACGTAGTGCATGTTACGCGACTCAAACCGTATTACTCCAGTGCCTCCTGATTAGCACCGGGTCGGTGCTCCAGCCGCCGGGGAAATCATGTAACGGTAGGATGAGAACGACGAAGAAGACAAAGAGAAAGACGATGTGGTCAGATCTGTGAGCCAACTGGGCGCCATCTTGTCCACCACCGAGTTTATTCCTCGTTTTATAAAGTAAAGTTATTCTCCCGTAACATCATCATAGTTGAAATAAAGAAGAGGAAATGGACATGGGCCGGGCATGTAGCGCGTAGACAGGATAACCAGTGGTCATTAAGGGTAACTAACTGGATTCCCATAGAAGGGAAACGGGTTAGGGGGAGACAGAAGGTTAGGTGGGCAGATGAGATTAAGAAGTTTGCGGGGTATAAATTGGCAGCAGCAAGCACAGGACCGGGTTAACTGGCAGAACATGGGAGAGGCCTTTGTCCTGCAGTGGACGTAGTCAGGCTGATGATGATGATGATGACCATTGTTTTCTCACGAAGTGTGTGGCATGGTTCATAGAGTTTCCTAATATACACTAGAGGGAACTCTGGCGCTAGTGTCTATGGGAGCTGCAACGCACGGTGCTTCAGCGAGCATGGGTATGATGGGTAGCACACTGATTTGTCTAATCTTCGTACTTCTAGCCTGCTTTTGGCTCCGTGTTTGTTCCTGTGGCTTGGAGCTGCTTTCTTACGAAAGAAATATTAGCAAATGTTCAGCGGTTGTGCTTCACCATCTTATTTTTTAGACCTACCTTTCCAAATCGGGTCACAAAGTTTAAAAGGGTTGAATTTTTCTTTCAAAACGAAACCAAAACAGCAATAAACAAAGCCATAAGTACGTTTCGCCACCTGCAATACGAAGACTAGGCAAATGTGTGTACTACCCATCATTCCCATGGTCGCTGAACAATCGCAGCGCCAAAGTGCCCTCTAGTTATTTTTAAGAAACTCTATGGCATGGTCAGACTTGTTGTCGGGCCACGTAAAACACGGCGAAAGTACGCTTTATGCGTGCAATTTTTTTTACAAATGCCACTAATTTTGTCCACTCTGGCCAATAGTCAATTGTATTACGGTCTTTAAAAGTGAACCTCGATCCGTTAATTTAATACACAGACCTAACATAGGCTGGATAATGGTCTGTTGTATCCAGAAGTCTGTTGTATGCAGGCCTGTTATGATGAGCATAGGCTGTATTAAACTTTTACGCCTGGGCAGCTTAAATGACTAACTTTTCGCTCTTGTTGCAGTTCGTTGACCAGCTAATTACCTCATTTTGGCCATTTTAGATTTACAGTATGACTTAGAGGGATATAGCAAGGTAGATTGATCAAAAAGCAAACTTTAGTTTCATTACTAAAAAGTAGTTCAGGTTTTAAAGAGCAGAATCATGCATTGGTGACTGCATAGGAACGCTCAAAACCATTTAGAGATGTTACCAAAAACCGTGCCTCATGACAGAGGCAAGGGCTTGTTTTTTTATGTAGCTTCACGACATAGCATGCCAGCACTCTAGTGAAACCACCTTTCCAAAGAGTTTTGTGCGGATGAAAAAAAAAAAAAACAAGAAAAAAGACGTCTGTTCATTCATTTTACTTCGAAATTTCAAATAAATTGAATTAGTTTCAAAGTGAACTCAAATACTGTAATATTCATTCGAATAAACGAAGTGCTCAAATATTTGCTTATTTCTATAGAATATAAATGTTATTTACTTCTTTAAGCTCACACATTACAGACAGTATTAGAATGTTTTCATCCAGCTGTTTTGTTTTCCTGCATGTTTATGTTGCAGATTCTGCATCCTCTGATCATGATGACAGCGACAAAAGTATATCATTGTCAGACGCTCAAACACAGCAAACGGATGACCCTGATGATGATGGTAAGTGTCGATTGTGTCATTTTTTGTTGTGTTGTATTATTTTTGTAATATGATTTATTGTAATCTTTGTGTTAAGTATAAGTCCTGATGCTCCCTTTAAGTAGACATAGACAGTGGTCATGATGGGCCATCCATATTATGTCTAGTAATGAAAGAATACTAGACATAAAGAATGATAATGTGTTTATTTGAAGACACTGTTCTTATCTTGTTACATCTTGAGAACTTCTAACGTTTCTGGTGTTTTAACGCATTCCTTGGCATCCTGAGAATTCAGTGGGAAATGCCTTGCTGTTCATTACAAAAGAGAACTTATACAAGTTTGCTTACCAATAACATATACACATTTTTATGGTTTCATGGTCGAAGTGAATTTATTTCAGTATGATAGTTATTGAGAAACGACTTCCTGTATTTTTAGAGTGCAGAAGCTTAGCGGGCAGATGCGGTGCCATCTTGTGGGCCAGCTTTGTTTTTAATTATGAGGTGTCTGAGTGTAGTAGCACTCATGAAACGGAACGAAATTATATGCCGATATGATATTCTGAAGATGTGGCTAGTATGTGGTAGTCTCAACTCTCTAAACCAGGGGTTTCAAACTCGCGCGCTGGCGGGCTGCACTGACGCATTTTAGTCCTGCGAATACAGAGACTGAGTAGGGGGTAAAAGTGGGGAAAGCAGGAGCTGTTGATTGCACAAATTGTCAGCAAATGTTACCATTTGAGAGAGAAAAAAAAAAAGAAACCCTTCCCATATCTTATGTACATCTAGGCAATTTTAGAAGGAGATTAGGTGCCAGGATTATGACATTTGGGTACCGATCGCCTAAACGACCTAAAGTTTGGACGCTGGTTTGGAAAAGTAGTTTTTATTTCCTGGTTTGCTTCAACGCATGGTGTCCACATGAGATGCCGCACCAAAGCAATGTCTGAAATAAGTCAAGCCTATGTAGCTCATGTAGCGCATGCTTACGAAAGAATAAAAAATATTGGATGAATACAGTCGTGTGTGAGCTGCGGACCGCATGCAAGAGGTTTGTGGGCCGCGTGTTTGAGACCTCTGCTCTAAACCAAAGCCGAAGTGCTGCGGATCACCAAGGTAATTGAAATAACTTCACCGCATTGGTGCTTGTACAAGAAACTTTTAGTTTTCTTGTGTCCCTAAGTGTCTGCATCATGATACATTAGCCAGTGTCACTTTTGCAGTCGCTGCTGCTGATTTATGTAAGTGCAACCAGGAGACATATGGTCAGTACTCTCATTTATTATTCCTGTAAGCAGCGATGTTATACCTAGGCTTATTAGCTGCAAAACAGTTGGTAAACCCTTTTTGGTTTCACAGCTTTGCAATAATGTTGGGAAGTACAGGAAATAAGGACTTGACGAACTGCGAGGAGATACTCTGTGATATTTGCGATACAAGGCCCCTCGCAAATGTGCACAAGCAAATAAATGAAGCAAGAAAAGTGTTTTGTAAGATGTCAGACCCGCACAAGCAGAAACGCAAAGGCAAAATAGCAGCCAGCACCAGTATCATACTCTTTAGTATTTATTTATTTTTTGTTATTGCTGTTGTAGTTGCAATGGTGCCTATTTAGTGTTCATTGGAAATGCAGGCAAATGAAAACATGATAATCTCCTTTTCGTGCATTGCCTCATTCACTTCTAACATTACACTGACCTAATCCAAGGTCTGCGCTCTTCTACGTCATTTTCGCCTGCAGAAGTTATGGTGTGGGCTGCCACACATTAATGCAGTTGGCAGCGATGTAGTGATTTGTGTGATTAAAATAATAAATCTATCTTTGTCGGTGCTCTGACCTAGGCTGAAATTATTCCCAGCAATCAGTCTACACAATTCACAAATAATAAGTGGGTGCTTCGAAAATGTTGGAGGGCCCATTTCAGACTTTAGAGGGCTGGCCGTGTTTAGACAGGCTTCTCATATGTTCCGTTTCTCTTTGCCATACTTAATATAGTTGACTGAAGGTACACCACTTTCAGATGCAGCCAAGGCTGCCTTGGTGCCATCCAACACGGAGTATCTCCCGGGAATGTTGCATTCACTCAGTCCCCCGGGTCTCCTTCCTAGCTATAGTGCGTGGTCTCTAGTCTGCCTTGGGCCATCGAGTCTCTACTCGCATAATATAGGTGAGTTAATTGCTCAATTTCTTACGAATACATTTTGCATGTTTTTCATTCTTACCTGAAACTTGCTTGTAGCTTAGGGGTACTGCCTTTTTTTTTTTTGCACTTGCACAGCTGTAATATGCAGTATGGTCTGGTGCAGCCACTGTGCCTTGCACTCATGTTGTGAGGCTGACAATGTGTTCAAAGCAGTGGCAGGCTGTGTATTATACAGTTACACCCCTTTGCAAGACGTAATCTCTGGGCAGCAATTGTTGTCTTTTATACGAGATGCCTCTTATAACCAGGAGACCTTGTATGCATTTTCCTAACCCCCGTATTTTACTGTAGGCATACCGGTGTCTCATACCCATTTGTCTCTTATATCAGCGTCTCTAATAAAGGGGTTCGGCTGTATATGGTAATCTGTTCATATGCTTGTGGCTCTCTGCAGGCATTCAGGACCAGCCAGGATTTGTGGCTGGCACCAACTTCCTGCTGCCCTGGGATGTGGCTGTCAAAGTGGACAAAGACCGCTGGCCTTCTCTTTGGGAGGGCAAGAGGGCCCAGACATGGAAGGGCAAGAAGAACGCCAAAGGTGACAGACACCTGTGATCAATGAGCTAGTGCATCAATTGATGGGTCAGTTGGGGAGCAGCCGGGAGAGTGTGCGGTTGTATTGTCGGCGTACTCAAAACTTTTTAAAGAGATGCATTCAAATGAAACACGTTTCCGGGAATACATCGTGTCTGACGCAAAATCAGCTTCATCGTAGTATGCTGAATTAATTATTCACACGCATTGTATTTGTGACATGCAGATATCGGCTATGAATGGGCGAGTTGTAGATTTGAAGTTTGATGCGAATTCGAAGTGAGTAGGGATTTTGCACAATAGTTTCGAATCATATATTAGTTCGAATTGTATATGTTCCTTACTGTAAAGCATTTTTGGTCATGACCCAACTGACTTTCACAATATTTTTAAGAATCGAAACTGGGGGTCTGCGAGTGTCACTTTTTATGGTTTGAAGTGAAGGGGCAGCAAATTCAAATAGTGGCAGAATTTAAATAGTAGTAGGGCCAAAGTTACAAGTGGTAAAGTTGGTCAAGTTTTAAAATTTGCTATATGTATTTAGAGCATATATGCTCTTTCAGCATGCTTTTAAACATTACAAAAAATAAATCGAGGTGCAGATAATCCGTATATTGTAACCTTGAAGTCTGACTTTATGATACTCCCCCCCCCCCACCCCCATCTTAATAGGGAACCCAATGCACGCCTATGCTAAAGAGGCAAAGGTGAAGGGAGACTGGCAGGATCTGATAGTTCTCACCGTGTGGGTGCTTGCGCTTCCCCAGCTGCAACATGCTTGGCCTAAAGGACTTTGGCCTTCTCCTCATAAATGAGGTTGCTGCTGCAGTAGCTACTTTACTGAAAGTATCTGCCTCCCTGCCTTTTGCGTAAAACACCTTTGGGAGGCATCAATGCAATTTTCCTGTCTCTCACTTGTAGATATTGTGGTCACTTGTGGTTCATTCCGAAAGTGTAGATAATGTCACCTATCACTTCCACAATTTTGTGTTGTGTACACTGCTTTTATGCTTCTATATAGTGCATGATTTTAGGCCTCAATGCATCCACAATACACCCTACGATCCCAATCATTGGTCATTGCCAACACCACATAAAAGACATAATGCACTTTGGCCACCCATGGCCCTTACACCACGAAACCCTACTAATCATCATCATCGTAAAAACAGTGGTGCCGATTCCTATTTCATAGCTATGTCAAGTGTTGCTTATTGCTCTTACTGTGTGCGCACAGGGGATGGTATGCAGTTCACCGTGAAGGTGTTCATTGGGGTGGAATACGAATGCCACCACGGCCACAGGTTCATGTGCTCTTCGCCCGAAAGGATGCTGCGTACCACTAGCACTGGCCTAGTTAAGGTGAGCATTAGGGTTTCACATGCTGTGCATTGAGCAAAACATCTTACTCATGTACTATGTTTGAAGTAAACTCAAACCTTATAATAAAAAGTTGCATCTTACATGAAAATAAGTTTGTTGTATCCAAAACTTTTTTTATACAGGTTTACTTCTAACACTATATCTGTTGCAAGACTGTTTTTAATTTACTTTGTTGTAAGCAATATCTTGTTATATCCAGGCTCATTATATTGAGGTTTGAGTTATACTCATTTATTACGTCAACAGCAAAACATATTGTTCATTGACTATACTTAAAGAATATTTGTTGGCTATGTAATTGAACATATTTATTCATCATTTATCTGCTCATCACAACTACACTGAGGATAAAATAGGCAATGCAGTTCCTAAAAACTGGATAGTTAGTGGTGCAGACTTCTGGTGAATTAGTGAATCTCCAAATTTGGTAAGATTATGTATATTTTCGTAACTGTGGGGGGTATTTTGTTAGCGCTCTGTCTCAGAACAGAGGTGGGATGGAGTGAGAGGATAAGAGGGAGCAACAGTCAATAGGTGAGCTGAGGAAATTCAGAAATGCTTGCAACGCATCAAGAAATATAGAATTTCTATAGCTGTACATCAGTATTGGCAGAAAATTCAGAAATGCTTGCAACACATCAAGAAATATAGAATTTCTACAGCTGTACATCAGTATTGGCAGCCATGTTTTTTCAAATCTTGAGATTGAAGAGATTTCAAAGTGTCATGACTTCAGCACTTTTTCGTGTTAATGTCTTCAGTGGACGCTAGGTGGTGTGACAGTTTGACGAATTTTTCAGTGGTGATTGAACCAAACTATCAGCACAGAATTGAGGTTAGCCAGGTATGAAACGGGCTAATTCGATTCTCCAGGTCAAAGTGCTTACGTTTCAATCCAATCCCAGTCGTCCAGAGACCGTTCTGTATACATTTCATTGACAAAACGGGGCCTTGCACCTGTTCTGAGGTTATTCTCACGTCTTGATGATCAAACAAGCCTTTAGCTAACTTGCGCGGCGTCTTCCCATTCTTCCTTTCCATCCCACCTCTGTTTTGTGACAGAACTCTTTATTATATAGACCCCCTGGTTCTTTTTAGGCCTATTCTTATGTAAACTCAGTATTTCTTGGCTATGATGCATTGAATATAATACCTCAATAAAGCTATAAAAGCTGCTATAGATGTCATGATAAACAGCTATTACAGATTATAATGTTATGAAGAAGGTAGGGTGCTTACATTTTACCGTATTTACTCACATAATAGGCACACTTTTTTTCAGAAAATCCGGCTCAAAGTTAGGGGTAGAAACTTTCGAAAATTTTTTGACTCGGTTCTCATGCTTTGAATCTGCACATTTGTCAAGTAAAAGGTGACTTTATTGTTTACCAATTAATTCAGCATAAAACAAACATACCTATGCACCTTTTAATGAACAAGTGAGAGCCATCAACTGCACACACACACACGTAAAATTTATTTACTCAAAAGTCGTAGGTGTTCCTCCTTTTCCGAACTTGGAGTCCGAGTCGTAAAGCACACATTCATCCTCGCCGAGCGGGGATTCGTTTTCAGGTGTCCGAATGATCCGTACCCCACAACATGTTATCCTCACTCGCATCCAGTGCGTTCCAGATACACATCTTTTTTAAGCTTTTCCTGACGGACTTCGTCGGAGATTGCTTGCCACGCTTCCACCATCCAAGCGCACAGCATTTCTACAGGCGGCATCTTAATCTTACCACCTGGAGTCAGCTGATGTTGTCCTCCAGCCATCCAAGTAGCACAGCCTTCGAACATTGTCTTTGAAAGGCTTATTCAAGGACACGTCCAAAGGCTGCAGTATCAATGTGAGGCTGCCCGGAATCACTGCCAGATCTGTGCACAGTTCCTTTAGCTCATTTCGTACTTTGTCTACTAGGTGCCCACGAAAACTGTCCAGGACAAGTATGGACGAGAACAACAGACCACCCGGGCGCCGACCCCAGACTGTTTTCACCCAATCCACCATGAGTTCTGCGCCCATGCAGCCTTTTTCCTGGACTCTGACGTAGATGCTTTGAGAGAAATTTGCCTTTGGGAGTGTCCTACATTTAAAAATTACGTAAGGTGGTAGCTTGCGCCCATCCGCTGTCACTTCCAGCATTACGGTGCATCAGCGCCAGATGTTCTGACGATGATGCTCTGTGCACCTTTCTCCTCCACTGTCGTGTTCCGTGGCATATCAAAGCAAAGGGGGGTCTGAGTAGCTTTGCCGATCTGGGACAAAATAAAGTCTTTCTGCTGTCGGAGCTTTCTAACGAAACGGTGGAAGTCCACCACTTTGCCTTCATATGCTGCGGGCAAGCGCTGGCACAAGTTGGTCCGCCTTCGCCGTGCGAGGCCATGGCGCCACATGAAACGAGTTGTTCATCCTGAGTTGGCTTTGAACTCCTTTGCTTCGATGCACTGCGCTCGGGCTATTCTGCGCGCCTCAGTCTGCACAATATTCAATGACACGGCACAGCCGTCTTGTCGTAGCTTCCGTATATGCTGGACCAGTTGCTCTTCGACGTCCAGATACCTGCCGGTCTTGGCACCACAGAAAACCCGTCGTGTCTTCTTCGTCGCCTTAAGTTTTTTTTTCTTGATCCCTCCAGTACCGAATTCCGGTTCCTCCAACACCGAAATGCCTGCTTGCAGCCCGGTTGCCGTGCTCCAGCGTGTACTGCACTGCCTTCAGTTTAAATCCAGCTGTGTAGCTTGCGTACTTCCCCATGGTGGAACTAAAGTTGAATACACGGCCACAACATACGCACACCGTCACACCGCTTGCAAAATGGCGCTTCTTTCTTTTTCTCTGATGGTGGTGATGGCGTTGAGCCCCCGGCTTGTGCACGTGACCTCTAAGGAGCACGGCTATTTGGGGGGTATCAGTAATTCATGGAAAAGCCGTTTCTTCTTTCGGCGTTTTTTTTTTTTTAAGTTTTATTTCGGCAAACACATTGGTTAGGTCGTTGCACTTCGAATTTTTTTTATTTGCTAATCGATTTGTCTTTTTTTCTTCCATGTACGGGAACCGCATTCCAACTGTACCTCTGGGGGGTAGAATCATTTGGGATCACGGCCAAGTTCCCCTATTATGCGCGGATTTAAAAAAATCGAATTTTCGGCGAGCATACTAGGGGTGCGCCGATTATGTGAGTGTGCTGATTATGCGAGTAAATACGGAATATGATAGTAATTAATATTTTCTGTTATTAATAATTAAGTTATGCTTCAAACAAAATTTCACCTATATTTTTCTTAAAATGAGCTGTACAAGAAGAGTAAAAACAGTCAGCATTTTTTCGTAACTTTTCAAAGGCATTATAGGGTTAAGAGAAGTACTTGTTGCCGTGAGTCAAGACATATCCTGTACATCTGTAAACTTTGTATCTGATCTAAAAATCATATGGCTTAACTGTCATGCCTCACCATTCGATTTTACTAGGCGTTAGCTATCAGCTCCCTCAAAGTGCTCCCGACTTCTCTTTCAAGTTGAACAACCTGCTTAATGAGATAACAACCAAACACCCTAATATGCATAGGATTCTGTTTGAAAACTTTAATTTTCCCAATATCGTTTGGTCAGACACGCACGCTCCAGTGGCTACATCAAAGGAATCGAACGAGTTTCTTGAGGCGTGCCTAAACTTTAATTTATCCCAAGTGGTCACACAACCGACTCGTGTCACAGGTAACTGCCATAATATTCTGGACCTTATCCTAACAAATTACCCCCAAGGTGTCTCATCTATTACGTATCTTCCCGAAATCAGTGACCACAACGTTAATCATGTAGACTTTGTGGTAAAACCTCTCTTGACCCCAACTGTTAAAAAACTATTCGTTTATATGATAAAGGAAATTGTGAAGCAATGAACCATGACTTAATACAGTTTTATCACAAATTTTAAAGAACCTTTCCTTCTCATACTGTAGGCGAAAACTGGCACATTTTTAAAGATGAACACACAATTTAGTAGACAAATACATTCCTCTAATTACAATCTCCACTAATTCAGCCAAACCCTGGTTCGATAAAGCTCTGAAGCAATTAGAAAATGAAAAGGAACGGCGGTTCTGCGCAGCCAAGTCCCGTAACACACCTTCTGCATGCAATGCATACAAAGACGCTGAAAGTGCTTACCTTGAAGCTATTCGTCATGCTAAACGCTCATTTTTTCACTCTGACTTACCCAACATGCTTAAGAACAACCCAAAAAAATTCTGGCAAGTTATAAACCCTCATGACACGCGCTCTGTTGCTTTATCGAACGGATCAGGTGAGGCCCTAACAGACGCTGAATGCGCCCATGTCTTCAACACCGCCTTTGCATCAGCGTTTACTCATGAAACTGAAGTGTCATTCTCTGTTCCCTTGCCGCTTTTGAATGTACTATGCCACCAATTACATTTTTTTTCATCCGGTATCTCATCCTTAATAGACAACAAAAAACCCCGCTGCGGTGGTCTAGTGGCTAAGGTACTCGGCTGCTGACCCGCAGGTCGCGGGTTCGAATCCCGGCTGCGGCGGCTGCATTTCCGATGGAGCCGGAAATGTTTTAGGCACGTGTGCCCAGATTTGGGTGCATGTTAAAGAACCCCAGGTGGTAGAAATTTCCGAAGCCCTCCACTACAGCGTCTCTCATAATCATATCGTGGTTTTGGGACGTTAAACCCCACATATCAATCAATCAGACAACACAAAACTTTCGTCGTCAGCTGGTGTGGATGATATTACATCAAAAGTTCTCATAAACACGAAACATATTTGTGCAGCATATCTATGTTTATTGTTTTCACAGTCACTTTAAACAGGCATGCTACCCCTTGACTGGAAACCTGGAAAGGCCGTTCCAGTTTACAAATTCGGTAATAAACAGTCCCTATTATATTATCACCCCATCTCATTAACCAGTGTGCCATGTAAAATACTTGAACGTATCATCTATACACATATCATGGACTTCCTTGATTCTAACCACTTCTTTCATCCATCACAGCATGGCTTAAGAAAAGGATTTTTGTGCGAAATGCAGCTAGCCATGTTTGTTCACAACTTGCATGTAAATCAGGTTTCTAACTTACAGACTGACGCCATCTTTTTAGATTATTTAAAAGCCTTCGACAAAGTTCCTCATGATCGTCTACTACTGAAACTTGATGCGTTACATCTAAATCTCAATATTTTAGCATGGAATAAAGAATTCTTAAGTAATCTCTCACAATCCGCCTTTGTTAATAACCATATATCTAGTGCTACCCCCATAACTTCAGGTGTTCCTCAAGGGTCCGTTCTTGGTCCACTGTTGTTCTTAATGTACATCAATGATCTATCATTGCATGTCTAACCTAATATCCGTATGTTCCCAGACAATTGCGTAATTTATCGTATCATTACTAACGTTTTCGATAACGCATCTCTTCAAAATGACTTGCGAAGTGTGCAAGAATGGTGTATCCTATAACTAATGGAACTAAACCCTAATAAATGCAAGACTGTCTCTTTCCATTGCCGTTAAAATCCACTTATTTTTTCTTATTGAATCGCTTGCGCTAACCTTGAACTAGTTCCTTCCTGGAGTAACCCCTTTATGATTTAACCTGGGTGACTCATATTATGAACATCATTTCATGTGCCAATAAAACACTCTGGCTTTTAAAATGCCATCTGCTCCATGCCCCTCAAGATGTAAAACTACTCGCCTATCAGTCTCTCACCAGGTCAAAATTAGAATATGCACCCCCCATTTAGGACCCTCATCAACAATATCGCGTCAATCAACTCGACTCACTTCAAAATCGAGCTACAAGGTTTATTCACTCTAAGTACTCACATGACATCAGCATATCGGCACTGAAAACAGAATTCCAGTTTATCATTACTCGCATCTCGTTGCCGCACTGCTAGTATTTGTCTTTTTCAGAAGTTTCTTTACAGCTCCCCCAGTAAGCCACCGTACATTTTCCCCCCGACATGCATCTCCAGTCGCATCGGTCACCCGCAACAAGTTGCTTGCCCACATGCCCGCACCGTCAGTTTTTCGTCTTCATTTTTTTTTTTCGTGTAGCAACTGACTGGAACGGTCTTTCCGATGACATCACAGCCATTACCTGTCCTTCCACGTTTTTTACCACTTTAACAGATCACTTTACAATGTATTAAAACATGGCTTTTTTTTTTTCATGTATGTATGTACCCACCCATCATGCAATACCCCTTCAATGGGGTCTTTAAGGAATAAAAATGAAATGAAAAAGACTGGCGTACATAAATGTAATGTGGACATTATAGATTGTGCTTGGATCTGTTTACGCCTAACAATTTCCGTACACAATTTTTGCATACTTGAGCAAGCGTCTGTGGCAATCGCATGACATTAAGGACCAGTAATTTAAATGTTTCAAACACTTAAGCTTGCTGTGTTTTTGTGGCTTGAACCTCTGATTCTGCATTGATTGCCTGGGTGTTTCATTTATGCTAGAAATGATGCATTCATTTTTATTACTGTTGTACATAATGTGCAAGTACTTTCTGTGGACAAAATGTACACTAGACACTCAGTAAACGGAAATCCCTTTATGGGACTGCTGCGCTAACAGAACAACTGGCTCTACTATGATCGGTTTCATACCTGAATACTGCAGCCATGTTCATCTTTGAGTAAATGAAACTCCTATTAAACGGAACATATTTCCTTAGTTCCTTTAGGCTCTGTTCGAGTGTCTATGGCACTTTCTTTATATAAAACGCCGCTCTTCCTTACCTGCACAAATGTAAGCACTCCAAACAATTAATGTAAAAGCGAAAATCTTTGCTCTATATGTATCTTTATCAACGATTTGAAAACATATTGGGATCTTTTGTATTTCTTTCCAGGACAATGCCAACAAGATAGCCAACAGTCACATGCCTCTATATTTTCCTTGTCTGTGCCGGTAAGTTGTAAAGAAGCAAACTTTATTTGAATAGTGTAACTGTTATCTATAGTGTTGCTCTGTCCACCCAGCGAAAAATGCTGTCACGAGTGGCAACTTCGTAAAAATGTAGGAGGACGCCTGAGCTTCGCCCGCAAGAATAGAACCCGACAGCGTAATCACACCTCATCCGCATCATCTTCCCGATGGCTGGCCTAGCTTCACTTTGCTTCCCGGTGGACGCCTCAACTGTGTGGCAAATAAACAAAAGACTGTGCACATAACATAGGCCATTCTAAGGTATTCCAAAATGCCTAATGTCTGGAGCCCTCCACTACGGCGTCTCTCATAATGATATGGTTGTTTTGGGACGTTAAACCCCACAAATCAATCAATCAATCAAAATGCCTAATGCAAGTACTGTTGGGAAGCGTGCATCCGTAAGGTGTCATGCGCACTTGTACAGTTTGGTGATTCTGTTGCTGATAATGATGATTTGTTATGCCTGGGTGCTTTTTGTAATGGGTGCACCTTTAATACACCAACTCGCGCATGCAGTTCACAAATTTTGATGCCCGGTGTGATTCTACGCTTCTGCCCAGTAAATTGGTATGATAGTAGGTACCTTTTTTCAAAGCAGTTTCAAGCAGTGGTGTGGCTCTGCGTTAGAACACCTTGCCACACAAACAGCCTGGTTTTGATTCCGACTTAAACCAAAGTTTTTTATAATTTATTGTATTTGCTTCTTTCTCAGTTTTACTGCCATGACAATGCAGATTTTTTCCTCATAAATAAACACTGATGTTTATGCCAAAATTTCTGTGAAATGAGCTGTTTAACGCTATCACATTAATATACAGGCTTGAAACTCGGCAGTCGTGACAGCATGTTGGCCAACAAAACAATAATTACAGGATACTGTTTGCACATTCATTACATTTGCATTGAAAAGTTGTAGTATTGAATCAAGGAAGAAAAGCTGTTGTCGACTCTGCCGTGGTGAAACGATAAGCCACCACTTGTTGGTTTTTGGTCACCTTGCATTGTGGCGACGTCGCTCAGACATGCCATCGCCTTGTTTTTGACAGAATGTGAGAGAGAATTTATTGAAGCAAAAACATTGTTATGATCGGTGTGTACATGTACCTTGCCTAATATTACCAGGCAAAGAGGTGGCTTTTTAAAATTGAAATATTGTTATGAGGTATAGTGTACTTTTTTTATTTGAACTGGTTCTATTGAGGCACATGGGCGCTTTAGCTGTTATTGTATTGTCTCATGATCAGCACTTCCATCACTACTGCTTCATCTATGGCGCATGTGCGTTCTGGTTTTGCTTTCGAACCGTGTTGTACCATTAAACTGTTTCAAGGCACAGTGGGTGAAAGTGTTCATAAAATTTCCTGCTCTCTCATCTATGTGTTTCAAGGCAGGGTTTGTCACCGTTTCAAAATATATGTACTAACAGGCTCACCACCAGTCTTTTCACAGTTGACAATTGTTGTGCAGATCTGCCAAGCCGCAGGTGGCGCAGCTGATGCGGCTGCACATAGTGACGCCCAAGGCTCCCGTACACGTGACCTTGAACCCTCGAGTGCAGCCAGGTCCTTCTGCGCCCGTCTTTTTCCCGGGCAACAAGGAGCCTGTCAAATTGTCGCAGTCAGCCTACTGGGTGTTGCGGCTTCCGTATCCTTTGACTTGCGCCTGCTGTGTTTTTCAGAGGTCAAGGCCAAAATAGTACACCTCTATGAAGCCAACTAGGTAAACAGTTAGGCGCAGATAGCGTAACTACAACATTTCTTTGTTGGGGAGTCGTGAATACTCTCATACCTCGTTATAATCGAAACTGGATATAAATAAATATCGGTTTTAACGAAATAAAAAAAATAGTGTTGCAATAAATGTAGTGTTAAAACTTTAACCTTTATAACGAATTTTGGTACATAACAAACCTATTTTCATGTAAAATGCAAGTTTGTTATAATGAGATTTGAGTGTATTGCATTTCGGACCACAGGATTTGATGTTGAAGCCTCTTCTTGCAAAATGTTAGATGCTACAATTCAAAATCCCTATTCTACAGAATTTGACCTTTGCATTACTATTATTACTAACATTACTATTATTTAATATGTGCCAATTTGGGTCATGCTTGGAACAGGCTGATTTTTAACAATATTACACACAACCTAATAATTCCAATGGACAACTAAGTCAGGGAAAGCTTAGGGAAATAATATTTGCTGTTGTTCAGTAATTAAGTTGGTGTACATTGTTTTCATACTGTATTTTAATTAGGGATGATTAACCTATTATTATGGGTTAGCCCTTGACTTGCTGTTCAGATTTGTATATGAAGGAGATGCAGGGCCTTATCTGCCACCCAGGGATGGTGCTCCCTGCGAAGGAGCTCGGCTGCTGAGCGGTTGCTATGGCATTGTTGAGCAAACACCCATCCGGTGAATATAGGCTTTGGTTGTATCATTTTACTGTTTTTGGACACCTCACTTGTGCTTCATTTTGAGATGTGTAAGGAGAATGTCCCATGTGTGATTGATTTGTGTGTGTGTATAATTGTACATATGAAAATAAAACTGTCACTGGAAGCATATTCTGCGTTATGCATTACATTTTGTGTGAATATCTGTTTTTTTGTGTGTTATACAATACATTTGTGTGAGTATATTTGTAAAAATAATGGTTTATGTAATGGTAGAGATGCCTTTAATTAATTTACATTAGTTATGGTGGGGTTAGTAACCATAATATCTTGGGTTTTATGTCCCGAAACCAAGATATCATTGTGGGAAACACCGTAGTAGAGGGCTCCGAAATTTTAACCATCTGGTGTATTTTAAGCCGCATCGACATTGTACAGTGCACATGCTTCTGCCATTGTGCCACCATCGAAAATTTTTAGCCTGCTGTACGAAGCTGCACCTTTGAGACTACACTCATGTCATCTTTTCTCGGATTGTGTGCATGCTTTTGACTTCTGCAATTCTCATGTTTATTCTAACCTTACATTATTATTTTACTCTTCTTTAAACGCTCTGTTCTTGCTGTCGGAAACAATTTTATGCGCCTAATTTTTGTCAGACAAGTTAGTGTAGGCACGCTTAATCTGTCGGGAGGCTAGACAGGTCAGTGCAAAAAACTAGTAGTCGACTTCACAAACAAAAGGTAGCAGGTACCATGAGAGTTAAGGTATGTATCATACTGACTGCCATGAGCATGATGTACCATGTACAGCTATGTATACCATATGTGCACTAAGCTCCCCGACCACTATCAGGTGGCACTTCATGTCGAGGTTCTCTATTGACCCTAAATGAAACTTGTTTTATCCCTAGATAAAACTTATGAAACTTGTTTTATCTAGGGTCCTTACGGTTCTCCACCCCCACCCTGCGTCTATATTGTTTCCGCATATATGCCTAATATTCTTTAGCCTAAGTAAAGCTAAAGTTACGTACGTATGATACGGAAAGCAACTGTACTCAGTAGCTTACTCGACGCTGCCAGGTGCTCGTCTACGACCCGGCGATGAAAAGGACAGAGAAAGAGGTGATGATGATGATGATGAACCTTCAGCTTTGCTGGCACTCGCCCGCAAAGGGGGATCGGCCAAGAACTGGGTGGCAGGATCATCAAGTGTGCTAAGTCAGGCATACAGGTAGTCTCGTAGCCGTAAATAATAACAATAGACTAACAGGGTAATCTCTTTGTTGCCCTTATGTACTCGCACACAGCAGAGAAAACCTCCCTGTGGCTATAACCTAATGTAATCCCTCCGAAGGATAGAATTAGTTCCACGTTTATTTTTAAACCTAGCTTCTCAATTGGTTCGACCAGGTATCTTTTCCTTTGATAAGCATAACGTTGACAGGATAAAAAGAAATGATCTATTGATTCCGATTCCTTGCAAAAGAGACACAACGGAGATGCTGTTAGTCCAGCTTTATGTAGGTAGTAATTCAGATGCGGAATTCTGCATCGTAATCTGGTGATTGTAATTTCTAACTGCCGAGATACACACCACTGTTTGTTCCAGCAATATCTTAGGCGTACGTAGTCTCTGACTTTATCCAATGATAATTTTTCTATTTCTTTGTGCAAACAAGCCTTTCTGTATCTGAGTGCTGTTACGTAGGCGAAATCAGGTAAAATAGGTAAGAGTGGTCCGCTTAAAGATGCTTTGGCTAACGAGTCTGCCATCTCATTTGGATAAATCCTGCAGTGGCCGGGTATCCATAGCAAGTGAAACTGTTTTCAGGTTTTCTGGTAATAAACTGCTAATCATACTCAATAATGTGAAATTTTTTGCTGTAGATAGTGCAGTGCATACTGACAGAGAATCGGTAAGTATGACCGCTTCCGATTCGCTTGCAGGAAGTTTACGAAGCGCTAGAATTATAGCAAATAATTCAGCGATGAATATAGGCGTGTAATCTGGTAATCGAACTGAGAAAGACCAGTCGAGAGAAGTACAGAAGATGCCTATTCCAGCCTTTTCGTTCAATATGGATGCATCCGTCGCAATAATGTTGTTTATGGACAGATGAGTCAAGTGATCTTTTAACCGAATATTTAAATATTGAAGGGGCAGTTGTTTCGCATTAGAGGGGAAAATATCATCAAATTTAATTTCAAGTTTTGAATTAGGTGTCTTCGTTATGCAAATCTGATAAATATTTACATTGAGAGGCTCTAGCAACGCTTGGACGAACCTAATCTGAAGGGAGTGTAGTCTAGACCATTGTGTTCCAAAGAATGCGGTTGGTTCTTGAATAAAAACGTATGAAGCTTGTCGCAGAGGCGAATTGTATATTTTTAAGAAAGTTTGAACGGTAAGTATTCTAAACCGAGTTAACAAAGGTGGAAGGCGCGCTTCCACATACAAAACATTATTTGCCACAAATTTTGGGAGTCCAAGACACAAGCGCAAAGCTTCTCTTTCTAATAATATTGTCTCATCTTGTAAGCCGCGCTGCCTGAAAATAATACACACCCGAATTCCATAATAGGCAGCACATACATCTTGTAAATCATTATCAATGAACTCCTACGCAATCCTATTTTTCTGTTTCCCAATTTGCGTAACCACCCCAAGGCATGTTACGCTTTACAGCCAACCTCGTCTATATGGCTTTTCCAATTTAGCGTCCTATTATATACGATGCCTAGGTATTTCAGGAAATCGACCTGGGGAATGAGCTCGGTACGATACATCAGGGAAACGTTGACACGATCCATAAAAGAGAATGGCAGAAGCGCACTTTTTTTGACGTTCAATGACATGGATATCGTCAAGCCATCCTTCTAGCATGTTCATGTAAATCTGTAATGCCTGATACAATGAGTGCAGATCACTGTTTGTTGCGAAGAAAGCAATATCATCTGCATATACGTAAATTTGGATATCCTGATGAGTTGGAATGGAACTTAGTAATATGTTGAATAACACCGGGGATAATACTGAGCCCTGAGGTACACCTCGTGTCTGCTTATATTTTTTAGAAGAGCATCCATCCAAGAAGCAATAAAATTCTCTGTCTTTCACAAACTCTGTAATCCATGCTGTTATATATTTTGGAAATCGATAGTCTTGCATCTGCTGGATTAGGATAGGATATTCCACTTTGTCGTACGCTTTCGATAAGTCTAGAGTGACTAGTGCACAGTATTCGCGGCGATGCCGAGCCAGCTGTATGCGACTTTCCAAATCCACATGTGCACACCAAATGGAGTATCCCGATCTGAAGCCAATTTGTCTGGGGTTTAGTATTCTATGTTCATTGATGTAGTTTATTATACGGGCATTTAAGACTCTCTCTACAAGCTTGACCAGGTTAGATGTCAATGAAATAGGCCTTATGTTATCCAGAGTAAACTCCATTCCCTGTTTCTTAAGTATCGGAATTATTTTGGAAAGCTTCCAATCGGCCGGAATCTAAGAATTTTTCAGTGAATAATTAACTACATTACGGATTTCGTGTGGCGATATTTCGTATAGCACTTTAATCATTGTAGAGGTCACCCCATCAGGTCCGGGAGCAGCGGGCGGTAAGCTCTTCATCACATCCGCCAGTTCAGCTAAAGATGCCTCCTGGAAATCACAATCCACCCTTAATTTCACCATGGACTTTGGCATAATTGTCGTAAACCTGGTTTGCAAGCCTTTAGCAATATTTTCCAAGAATTCAGAGAGTTCGCGAGGAGACATAATGTTGGAATGACTGCTTTCTGTCTGTGGAATCATTTTTCTCGCACGTAAAAACCTGAAAAGCATTCTCTTATTTTCCGACTTAGACAGATAATTAAATTTATTCATATCATAGTCTTCTTTTGCTTTGCGCACTAGACGCTTAAAATCGGCGGCCATGAATTTATAATCACTCCAATTTTGGCGGTATTGGTTAATTAACAGCTTTTTCCAGCTTTTTCCAAGAAAGAGGTGAGCAGCCACTCCTAGCGCGAGCGCAAGCATTTGCTCCACTGCTCCACTTCCACCTGCGGTCATCTATTTCAAGAGCAACAGCAGCAGCAGCGCTTCTCTCCAACCGCTCTCCTCGTCTCGGTGCGCTTGTTTTTCCGAGAGAAAGAGAAGGCGCAACGAGAGCGAGAGAGAACGAAGAAAGGATAAAGCGCGAAGTTCAGACCCTGCTGCCGCCGCCCGCAAACCCACTTCTTCGAGACCGCGGAATGCTCGGTTGCTGAGTCAGCCAGGCTGCCATCCATATCCATCCATCCTCGATGGCCTGTGCGGCTGTACCTCCTTGCTGCCTGTGTTTTTCTCGGACAATGTTTGTATAAACCTGCGCCCATTTTGTGCATAAGCGAGTTCTCTCCGTAGTTGTGAGAGGCGTTAGAAAAGAAATCTGACGCAAAACTTAAATCGCATATTTGCTCACAATTCCGCCTCCTTTTCAACCCTGAATTTTGTCGCGCCCTCTATAATTCAGAAATAATGCATACTGCGTTTTGTGAAACGTACGTTTGCAATTTGTAGTTTAAAAAACTGCCAACAGGTGACGCTGCAAACTTGACAGTGCGTCAGTTTTTGAGAATGCAATGTTGAGGGGGTGTTGGCAGCTTGCAAACTCGCGGGTCTCCGCCTCGTGTGCTTCCCTTTCCATCGGTTCCTTGTTTTTGGACCGCAGCGCCGCAGCAGCGGCGGTTCGATTTTTCGTCGTCTGCTATGTAGGCCTAACAAAGGCGACGGCTGATCGCCTCGCGTCAGTACGCCCGCTGCTCCGACGCTCGCTAGGTTCACGCCATGGCAGGTCGCGCGTCGACGGTGGCTCCGCTGGATACGTGACTCCCTCTGCCCGCTTGTGAGGAGTCTTCCCTGTGATTTCTGCGTTTCGCAGTGCGCCTTTCGCCGTCATGCGTCCACTTTATCCACTGTTCGCTTCGTAGTCCCGCGTGAATGGTGCAGTGCTGTCGTCGGCCTTCTCCCAGCTGAGCGCGGCAGCGGGTCCAGCGTCGTCATGATGTGCGCGAGCCGCAAAGCTAAGGTGCGCGCCCTAGTCGCGGCCTGCCTGCTCGTGTGTGCCGCTCTCGTGTTCTTCTACCACTATTCGAACGACGCCGGAGAGTTGTCCGAACTGCACCGCAAGCGCCTGTACGGCGGCGATCAGCGGCGGCGCGAGGACGACTCGTCGCACAACTTCGTGCACGACAAGGCGCCTTCGTCGAAGTCTTCCTTCACGTGGCCCTGGGCGAAGCGGGAAACGTTGACCGCTGCCGGCGATTGCCGTGCGCTCAAGGTGCGCCGCGATGTGGATATCTACACACCCGACGTGTACCCGACGCTCAACTTCAAGCCTCAATCGAGGAGTTACTGGAATCAGACGTTCGAGAACCGATATTACGAAACGAGGAAGCAGTGGGCCAAGCTACCGCTGGAGGTAAGATATGGTCTTTCAATGGGTCTCTGTGTTCGTATATCGGAGCGCCCATGGCACCGTTTTCGTTGCGGCAATATCGAATAATCCCGGGAAGACTTACCCGGGGCGAGGATGCGTTTATCTCTCTCTCGGAGGATGCAGCTGTGCGTGCTGTCTCCGCGGTAGAAAAATTCCGGCGCTCTTCCGTTTATACCTTGCCGAGAAGGTGGTACGCCTAATAGAAACTAAACGCGTCACAGGCCTCTGTTCTCCATGAAGGATCAATTGCGTCGCATATGTTAAGCCAGTCGAACAGTTGCTTCCGCGTATTTGTGAGCGTGATCGTTCGTGTATTTTAATTGCAAAGGGAACGAGCCCCGGACTCTCGCAATCTGTCGCTTTTTTCGTTACCTCCGTTTCGCCGTTTGTATTTGAAGCGATTACATTCGAAAGAGAGCATGTTGTATGCTCTATCTCCCGCTTCTTTATCTCCCTCTTCGCCGCGGGCAGCAATTGCGCAACGGTCCAATCGATGCACGAACGTTGTTTGCTAATTCGTCGCGCCGCGGTTGGTCGATTTGCCAGCGCTGATATTGGAAGGGGAAAAGGAGGAAAAGGATATGCGTAGGTTCGATAGAATCGAAAGTTGGGCTAGTTGGATATGCATGGTATAACTATCAGTTAAAGCGCACGAATAAATAGAAAGGAACAAGCGCTTGTCCTCTCTTCCTTTCTGTTTATTCGTGCGCTTTAACTGATAGTTATACCATGGTAGGTTCAATACAATAGAACGTCTCCGAATCCCCCCCCCCTCCTATATATATATATATATATATATATATATATATATATATATATATATATATATATATATATATATATATATATAGCTCATTACGCCCCATATGAATGTGTTGCCAATGAAGTTGCAGTGCACGAATGTTAAGTGATATCAGTTAGTACAAGCACGGCATTTCACTCGCAAGAAGTAATATCGAAAGCAAGCGCTTTAGCTTGTCCTAGGTGATATGTTTGCTGTAGTTCTCAAATAGTCGACTCTCTTAACATGGAGTAAAACCTATAAGCAAATCCATATATTAGGCACGCAGCGATAGGTGCTAGGCACTGTCATTTATTTCAGTGGTGTGGCAGGTGCACTGAAACGTTGAAGAATCGAACACGCCGGCCCGAGGCATAAGTGCCGTTAATTGTTGCACCAGTGTTGGCCTGTATACACTGGTGGTCCAATGTACCAGCATTGATTGTAACAATTTAGTGTCTCCTACCCCCCCCCCCCCCTCGGCCAACGTTTGTCTTTAAGGGATCAGTCATTTGTTGTACCGTAGAGCACGCTCCGAATATGCGAAACTTCTTGTCAAAAAGCTCTCGTAGACGTTGTAATTGTTAAAATAGACGACTTTTCTATTTATTTTGCAAACCTGCATGCTTCAGGCAAAGAAGCTCTGTTAGGTGTCGACCCAAAAAGAAAAGTTGCACTGGTTCGTGTAGTGTGTTCCGAGATCATGATTTTTGAGTCTACGCACATGGCGATTGCGTACGAAGCTGGGGAGGGGGGCACCTGACATCTCATTATATTGTTCGGTCCTGTACATCTTATACAAATGACTCGGAGATCCCGACTCCCTTTTTAATTACTTCGGGTGTAATTTCTTTACTGGCGCGCGTCACAATGAATAATTCAGTGTGCTTCATTTGCAGAGACTATTATCGAGCTTGGGGCAAACTTGGGGGTCTCCAATCACAACAACATGGGGTGTCCGAGGTCGTTGACGTTTATCAAAATTTATTAGCACATATCTCATGCTTTGATTAACTGTGTAGCCTGTACCATCGATCGGGAGTTGATAGGGTCGGTGACCGTGCAGGGGTGTCGTCATAATTTTGTTTTATATAAAGTGGAGAGAGTGGAGACAGTCCGGAGTCTTCTCCCGCCGCCCCCCTCCCTGTGTACCGAGCCGTCGTAAGAAGTTCAGAAACATCTATTGGTCTGAGCAAAACTCCCAGCATTTTGTAACTTAATACGGTTGATATACTCACGTAAATTTATTTAGGGCGTTTGAGAACAGGCCGGGCATCTAAATCCGAAGCTGCCTGCCCAAGAAACGGTAATATTCCGCTCTTATCTAGTGTCTCGTCGCCCGTAAACTTTTGCAGCTGTTTTTAATTATATTTATCTGGTGGCTTCATTATACTCTTATCTGCAAGTATTTGCTTTCGTGAAGCAAACGGCTTGAAAATAATAAACAATAACAGAAAGAGAAGAGACAAACACTGGTGTTCAGTCGGCATAGCTCCTTGACGTCAATTTATATTTTCGCTTTTTAGGCTTGCCTGTAGGACACGTCGTCTGCTTGTTTCCCGTTGCAAGAGTGCGTATTCTTCACCCATGCTTTGCAACATTATTGCAGCACCTGTAGCAATGCCACATGTTGCACTATGGTTGGTTCTGCAGGCGTGTTTCAGATATACAGCTGCGCCGATTTTGACGAGCACAGAACAAAAGCACGAACAAGGACAATCGCTGTCCTTGTCAATTACTCGGCGCAGTTCTCGTTGAAAAGCAGTGTTGATATATTATAGCTTCACTTCTGCAGTGTGCTATAGAGACATGTGGTGGAAACTTTAATGACGTGCTGCCTTACTGCATTGATGGCATAAGTCTGGCTAACATACATAAAACACCGCTTAATGGTCATCGTACTATATATCAGAGACATTGACGATATCTGTACTTATATTGGTGTCCATGACGTGCACGTATATAGAACACCGGTCGCCAGCTGTGAAGGACCTTGGCTGGGCTATTGTCAGCGGACGCACAGCTGGTCGTCGTGGGATGTCACTCGAGCCGCCTTTCTTTATTTCTTTAAATCACAATGGTCGGAGTTTTTGTGTTAGGTCTTCTACTTATTTCTCTCCTTTTGAACGCACAGGTGAAATACGTAAAAACGTTCTGGCATTCGTGCTATGCGTGTAACCTGACGCGCACTTCACTGTCTCCAAAGAACTTGTAGTTGGCACGACCATTGGCGTGTACAGGGGGGCAGGGGCAGCTCTCTCCCTTTCCTTAGTCATCAAAGGGAAAGGGCAAAGTCTGCCCCCAACTCCAACGACTTTTGGGGCACCTATCCCATCATTCTTTTAGAGCAGGGTTGTGGCCGCGCATGTTTGGACGATAATGGCGCCCTAGGCCTCCCCGTTGTTGCGTTCCAAGAACAATTTAGATCCCATCTTTACCCACGGAAAGACGGGGACAATAAGCGAGACGTTATAGGAAGCGCATCTTCGGTTAGTTTTGATTTCTTCGTTCATTGTGAAGTATATGTTGTATCTTGTACACGAACAACGAGGAGGGGGGACGGGATGAAAATCCCCCCCCCCTTTTTTTTTTCTCTGACTGATGGGTGAGCCCTTCGCCGCGGCCGGACCGAAGCGACATTAAACAGGAGAGTGCAATATCCGCCTATCAGCAATATTACCTGCACTGTGTACCTATAGCAGTATAGTTTTGCGTACATGTGTTGGTTGATCTGAAATACCGGGGTCGGACGAAAGAACAGCTAGCAGTGTTCGGGTACTTGGGTTGATTGATTGATTGATTGATTGATATGTGGGGTTTAACGTCCCAAAACAACTATATGATTATGAGAGACGCCGTAGTGGAGGGCTCCGGAAATTTAGACCACCTGGGGTTCTTTAACGTGCACCCAAATCTGAGCACACGGGCCTACAACATTTCCGCCTCCATATACCTCGGTGTACTTGGGTACACCGAGGTATATGGAGGCACCTTAGGGCCCGCATAGCCGTTCGGTATTGGAGTCTCTAAAACTGATCCTTAACGTGAGGGATAGCTGGCGGTTGCCCTTAGTTGTGCAAGGATACCACATGCGCGACAGCAGTTGCGTTTAGTATCGCGTTTCGCCGACGTTTTGACCTCCTGGCGGTGTATCAACGTTGGTTTAGAGGATTCACGGGGCATGCAGACATGCTTTGTGTCACGCTGGAGCCTCGTTGGCGCGTTACTTTGTTTCGACGTGCGACGTCAGCTCTCTTCCGCTACCGTTCACGCGTTGTAGAGACCGCAGTAAAATGAGAACAGAAAGACGAAGGGAAAACGCGGCTATACGACGCGTCGCACCAGCTGTTGTCAAGCCTCGCGATATTAGCAAGGGTCTTTTTTTTTCATTTGCCTCCCTCCCCCATTTCTTTTGTCTTTTACTTCTCAAAGTATAGACCCCATTTCATGTTTGTAAGCGGTGGTAGGCGACGCGGCTACAAGTGCCCCAGCTTGTCGCTGTTAACGCTGCTTCGGCATTCGTCTCGCCTGTATGTTAAGTTTGGTTGTTTTGCTGCGTATACAATCATTGGCGTACGTAACCATGAATTGGAAGGAGGGGGTTCGTCCCCCCCTTCACGAAAAAAATTTTTTTTACATGTGCGTATAAAACACGCATACGCGTAAAAAAGCGCGAGCGTGCATGAAGTGTGGTTCAAGAAAAATACTTGTTGCTATTCTTCTCTGCAGCGCCTACAGATGTGCGTTGCCGCAATTACACAGCACCATGGAATTGATTGATTGATTGAAGTTCATTAGCATGAAATAAATACAAATCGATTGCAAACACGGTATGGCCCCTTAGCAAAAGGTTAACAAGCATTCAATCGACAATTGTGTTCATCAGTGACATTACAAAATGAGCTACAGCAACAGCAATAATATGACCTGGCCTTCAGATAAAAAAAGTGGAAAATTCTGTAATTAAATTATGGTATTCAACATTCAAATACCATTAAGAAAAAACTGGTATATTAGGTGACGGTGGTGAGTCACCCTATTTCTTCAGTGTGCACGCGCCAGTGTCGCGCTGCACCAACGTTCTGTTCTCGTAAACTTTTCCCTTCCCGTGGGTCGAAACGCGGTTCCTGCGGCCGGCATTCGCACTCTCAACCTCACGCGTTGTGCGCTTTTGCGTAAACGTGCGTAGCCATCAGCTCGA